ACTGTAAAAGAAAAAGAAAAATTTAAGATTGGATATTATAAATGTAAAAATACTTTTTAATGCTTTATACAAATTTATAATTTCATTCAAATATTTGTTACTAACAATACTAGTAATTTTATTTTCAGAACATAATTGTTTATTGTTAATAATATTAATAATTTAATAATCTAGAGAATTGTAATTATCAAAATAACATATTGTTTAACAAAAAAGGTGGTAATTTCAATCAGTACTTATTACATGTTAAAAATTCAATAAAAACATGTTGGCAAATATATCTTTTAAAAGTAAAAGTTGATATACTATTTGAAATATCGTTTTAAAATTATGATATTAAAAATATACCCGACGGGCATTTGTTTTTAAAAGTTACGATCTAAATGTATTTTAAATGCCTTTTAAACATTAATGTTTAAAAGACGTTTAAAAGACGTTTAAAACACATTTAGAACAACTTTTAAAAACAAATGCCCGTCGGGTACATAATGAAATATAAAATCAATGAAAAAATTTCTTTTCTTTAAACATTGATACAGATAAAAAAATTAAACCATCTAATCAACATTGTGTATTAGAATCCAGCTCATGCAGCATCTCATCTTCATCAATTTATTTTTACTCTTTTGTACACAGTTATTGCATTTGTGTTCAACTTAGCAATAGATAACAAAAAATATTTATAATTATAATATTTAAACTATATATAGGGAATAATTCTCTGTAAGCTACAGAATATATGACATCATAATATATATTATGATAGAGTTGTATCAGGTAGGTACGTACATAAAAATTTTAAACCGTTTATATATAAGACTATTATATATAATTGGAAAGAGCTTTAAATTAGTATTAAAATGGCGAAAATTTCAAAAAAAAAGAATGATTCTATAAAAAGTTATGCAAGTTTAAGTATCAAAATTTAACAACAAAGATTACTTAAGAAAACTGCGCCCATCATTAAAATTTCACGTTCGGCTAGCGGTAGTTTTGTAATAAAACATTTTTGCAAACTCGCGCAGTATTTTTTTTCGGGTTTGAATTTTTATTGAATAAAGTGTCAAAGTAGCGAATATAATAATTTAGTTAATCAAAATATTTCTTATGTAAAAAAAAAAATCAAATTAATTTCCTTAGGTATATAACAAATATTGCGAACATCATATAAAAACGACTATAATAATATTGCGTACATTTTAAAGACAAAAATATTTAACAGTAAAACGCTTCTTCCTATCAAGTATAAAATTTATAGAAAATAGGAAAAAACGAGTCGCTGAACTATCTGATGTTTTTTTCTGTCCCTATTTTAATGTTTAATATTTTTACTCCGTTTCACAAAAAAATTTAATTACACTCTTATAAAAAAAACATATTTAAAAAGAAACAAACGTGTATTTTTTTGGAAGGGCCTTAAATAATAGTGGAACTAGTCCAACTGCAAAAAGATTTATTAACAAATTTTTTTTTAATCTCTCATTAAAATCTATTAAAAATACATAAGAGGATACAGAAAACGGGTCACGGTTCCTAGTTATAGCAAATAAGTTAGCTCTATTGGTTTGATTTTATCTTAACGTTTAATTTTATTCTGTAAAGAATATATCAGTACGAAGTAACAATTTCAAAGAGAAAAAATATTGACATAACTAAAGTCTCTTTAACAGAGATGACATTTGCTTAACATTTCTTCCAGTATTTTTTGAGGCTGTAAAATTAATAAAATTTTTAGTTTATTAATATTTTAAAGGCCTCACATTTTCCTTATAAAGCAAGATTTCCTTATAAAGCATAAGGAAGATATAGAAACGGGTCACAGATCCTAGTTATGTCAAATAAGTTAGCTCTATTTGTTTGACATTTCTTAAAGCAACTTTTCTGCATCAAACTCTCGACTAATTCTTTCAAGTTATTTTAATACCAGCTTTAGCAAATTATTAAACTAATATAGCTGTGATTTGTACCGAAAATCTCAATCCGTATTTACCAAGGTAATAAAAGTATAAACGGTTTCTATTCATATATAAAAACATAACGAAAATATAAAGAAAAACAAAGCAAAACGAGCAATGTATACAACACTATAATTCCAATTAGAAAAAATTTTCAAATTTATATGAGAAGCAAAACACATTTTTCTTGAGATAAAAAAAAAACATTTACATAAAAAAAAAAATAATTTTTAAAAGTATTATATTTAACATTAAAAAGTATCGGAAGTACTTTATAAAATCAAATGGAATTGTTTTTTTATAGTATATTATATTATTATATTATATAGTATATTATTTTTTATAGTATATTATAGCCTTTAGTAAATGGTATAAAAATTAACAAAACTTCCTTTTGGCTTTTAGAAAACGATCAACAATAAGATAAGGAATTCAAGCTAAAAATGTAACAAAATTATTAAAAGCACTTATTACACATTAATGTATACGTAATCAGTTAATTTAAATAAAAACTCAAAAATGTGATAACAAATAACAAACTTACTTTGAGAGATTTTTTTGTGCGTATTTTTGAGAAATATTTCAAGATTTATTGTTGCAAGTTTGGACTATAAACTCTTTTTAAAAGAAGCAACGCTAAAAATAATCAAAAAAAGATAAATCTTTACATTTTAATATAAAAATTGAATCCTTGGCTTTTAGTGAATGATTATATATAAACAGTTTCAGTAATGAAACAATCCAATAATCATTTTTAACGATAGACACCGACGTGAAGGTAAGCCAAGTCGTCTATCAACACAAAACATCACAACAATAACATCACACGATTAACAAATAGCACAAAACGTTACAGTAAACACTCAATAACTGAAACCACCAAGGGACCAAGAAATTAGCTTATTAGAAAATGTTTAGGATTATTGAAAGCATATTCCATAAACAATTGGATCAATTGGAATTTCAAAATTAATTCAAGTTATTAAGGGTTATTGAGTTATCCAGATTTTATTGAAATTTTTTTATTTATTAACAGCATAACATACTTATAAGTACACATTTTGTGATTACAAACAGACTTTATTATGTGTTTCATGTCAGTATACCGCTTGTCTAGCAAGGACAACACTCTTGCCATAAACAAAGCCAAGTCACAATATTCAAAGTACACCGCTTGGCTAGCAAGGACAACACCCTTGCTGTAAACAAAGCAAGTCACACCACTTTGAAACCATGGAAACAACATAATAAATACTTTTAAACTATAAAAGCATAACATTATAACACATAATACACTACATAATATAATGTGGACGTGCTGATAATGTCTGGGACTTGAGTTGGTCAGTTAAAGTCATAGCAAACTGTCGCTCATACTGACGGTTAATAACACTAATGACAGCATTTAGACAGCTGGCTAATGCATCTCTCATTTCATCAGTCCTTGGGCAAAAGCCTATGAGTGATTAAAATACTGGATCATTGAGATCAACCCCGAAAAAATCTGTTTTTCGGTGAAAAAGGAAAAGAGCTTCTGCGCTGCTTTCAACAAGTGCATTGCAAACATTTTTGATCACTTGGATGCCAGACAAATAGTCAAGTCCTTGTCCTGGCGCAACATAGAATTTTTTCATCCAGGGACCAGTCACTAACTTTCCAATTAAACCTTGGGCACACATCTCGCGTATACCTAAAATTAAATAAAATATACTATAAAAAAATAAGAACCAAACATTTTCATTATTAATCTATCATAACATCTAACCTGTATCAGATGTGAAGTCTTGAAAAAGACTATTTCTCAGTCCTCCACATAACACTACTCCAGAAAAAAGAAAACTCTGAAGTTTCTGGTAGTGATGTATTAAAGTTCCACATGTATGAAAAAGTATGTGCAGTCGATTTCTCCTATAGCGTGGTATAAGTCCTCTAGGAAGACCATGCTCGTCCAAAAAGGTGACAAAGCCTTCTGGATCACCTTTAAAAATAAAATTCTAACCAAAAGTGCAATGCAAAAAACTTATTTTAAGCAAGTATGTTAACAAAACACATTTATTAAGTTCAGATTTAAATTCAAAATAACAACTTGAAATAAAATAAATTTAAAATATTAAGATGACATAAAAAATAAAAAAATAAATAAATAAGATAAGAATTTATCATATTTATTTATTTTTACCATCCTTGTAACGGAGTTTATTTAACTGAACAACAATGTTTGCTGCAAAACAATCTCTACCAAAAAGCTTCCCTTTTGAAGTTTCCAAAGCTTTAAGCGATGACTTGCAAGCAGAAGTAATTGTATTTAATGGGTGAAGGTGACAGTTCAGTTCATTTAGAGATTTTTGCCAAAAAGTGTTTAACTTTGTTATAGTTGCATGGTTCACTGCCACTCTGTCACTCATTGTGTTTTTTATGTTGCTGATAATCGTGCTTCGTACATCAGTATATTGTTTCCGGTAAAATATACAACTTAGCAAGATTATCCACAGACTTTGTAATATGACTCATATAGTCATAAGATGTACCACCAGCAAGCTGGTCAATGGCTACAACCATGCACGAAGATTCATTTGTTAAGTGCATAACATTGACATGAACACCCTCCTGGGTTGTGGCATCATAACCAAGAGTCAAATTTTTTGTTGAGAATGCTATCTCAGCACCCTGGAGTTCTGAAACAATACCCAGCTCGCGAATTATCTGCTCCACAGTTTTGCGATGTGGAATGTCACTAAATCTATACCTAAAGTGTTCTTCTACTTTATGAAGAAGTTGGGGCACACTGTGTGTAGGAACTTGACATGCTAGCATGTCATAGATAAGTGCCCTAATATCAGATGAGTAGACTTTTTTACATATGGTGCTTTGTACTTTCTGCTGCATTTGCTCTATCTTTTCCTGTAAAATAAGCATATCATTTTGCAGGACACTAATTTCTACATTCTTGTCAGCAAGTTGTTGACGTAAGATAACTTCTTCAGTAGACAGCTTTGTTTGGGTGAATTGCAGTTCTTTTTTCAAACGAAAATTTGAAATTTGAAGTTAATTCAGCTGTAAGTTTATACATTGAACTTTTAATTTATTCCGCAAACTTCGAATTGTCTTTTCTTTGCGAGCAATAGTCTCATTGAGATGTTTAAATCTTGGCCTTGTTTTAAATTTTTCTTTCAACACCTTTACATCCTCTCTATGCTTTCGTTTTTCGGTAGCAATTTCAGTAGCAAAAACACTTAATCTATGTTTTAAGAGTTTTTTTCTTGGAGTCAACTGGTCAGCTCTTAACCTGGATAACAAAGGACTTTTTTTGTTAGGTGAAGACAAAATACTTTTATGTTTAGGAGATGAGGCAACTGACAAATACAAAAGAGTTTTACTTGAACTTGGACTTGACTGAAATGAATCTGTTGCTGGAAATGTTGCTGCTTGACAAATAAAAGGCTCGTTGCAGAAGTCAACAAAATGTTTTGAATCTCTCAAAAAATTGCAAGCCCATTTTTTTGATACATTAACAAGAAGTTTAGTATGACTGTAACAAATATTGAAGCCATAAAGTTTATTGACCTGCTCAATAGTTAATTGATGTGATTCATTATTGCTAACGAATACAAACAGAATATGCCCATTTTTACAATTGTTTTCTACTTGCAAAGACAATGCAAAGTTTGATTCTAAATAGCTTTTCGCTGCACCACGAAACACACACATATTCTTTTTGGGACCCATAATACCATATAATGTCACGTTGAGTTATTTCTTAAATGGAAAAAAGAACATCCAGAGAAAATTAGTTACTTGTTTCTTTTTAAACCAAAAAAATTTAATTGATATCATTTGTATGCAATAAATTTCAATTTTGTTCAATCATGAGTTAACTTTACCAATGACTTAAAATAATTTATCATGATAACAATTGTAAGCTTTATAACCATATGGTTATCATCTGGTGATTTATCATCTATAATTTATCAATTATGTTATGATACTGATGATATTGTATTATGATAGTCTATGATTATGTGAGTGATATCTCATTCATTTTTCAAAACCAACTTGCATATACTTTTTTATCATGATAAATTTTTTTTTATATTTAGTTTAAAAATTATTTTATAATAAGTAATAAGAATAACTATAAAATATTACTATATAATTCTTATCATTATATATCGTTTTTAAATCTACTATAAACTCATAAATATATATATATATATATATATATATATATATATATATATATATATATATATATATATATATATATATATATATATATATATATATATATATATATATATATATATATATATATATGTATATATATATGTATATATATATATATATATATATATATATATATATATATATATATATATATATATATATATATATATATATATATATATATACTATTATTGTTATTATATATTATTATATAAATATACATTTAGGGGGAGGGGGTTAACAACAATCTTTTAAAAAGATCGTTGCTAGCAACCCCCCCCCCCCCTATCGATCTTTATTCTCCGGAAAAAGTTAAACTTAGGTACCTGTGCTGCAACAAATAGTAAAGTGTCTGCTACATAATATTTTTCAATAAAATTTGGCATGCACTTAGAAAAAAGGTTTCTGCACAGGAAAAAATAGATTTAAAAAAGTTATCAACATTCCTTTTATATAAATTTTACATCTGACCAACAACGAATTTTTTCATAAACAGTTAACTTAATGATAGCGGTTGTAACTACTAAAAAGCACCACAAAAGTAATGCCTTACTTTTCAACTTTTTTAAAAATATATAATTTGGTTCAAAACTCTACAAAATAACACATTCTTACAGCACATAAGTACCTATTTTGCTACAAAAAATTAGGTGTCTGCTACATAATATTTTGTAATGAAATTTGGCATGCACTTAGAAAATATGTTTATTCACTGGGCCCAATAGATTTAAAAAAGTTATCAACATTCCTTTAATATGAATTATACATCTGATCAAAAACGAAGTTTTTGAGAACCATAAATTCAACGATAGCGGTGAGAATTACAAAAAAGAACAACACTAAAATAATGTTTAACTATTCTACTTTTCAAAAAATATATATGTTGATATAAAGTTCTAAATAAAAACACAAGAAAATACATTCTTACAACACATACGCCTTGCACGCTTCACTAAAATGGTCGAAGTTTTTCATTACAAGATCGGTGCCGTAAATCGAAGGATACGCGCATTGCTAAACAATGGGCAATTGCGTTTTATAGGTAGTAATTTTTTATACGCATTATTTAGTGTGTATATAAAAAACAGGCATTTTTAATTTAATTTTTTACTTACTTTAGTCATATAAATTAAATGAGTTATTCAATTTGAAAAAATAAGAAGAATAAAATAAAAAATTCAATTTGAGCTAATCAAACACTTTTTTAGCTACGTGCAAACTACTTATAAAACGCGATTTGCACGTGCACGTAGTTAAAAAAGTGTTTATTAACATTTTACTATATTGCATGCAATAAATATTGGGTGCATGTCTTATAAGTAATAAGACATTTGCCTAATATATATAGTAATAATTATGCCACAATATATATTACTAATAAGATATTTATTACTAATAAGACATTTGCCCAATATCTAAATGGTATATATATATATAGGGTTACCATATCTCCCGATTTGCCCAATATCTAAATGGTATATATATATTGGGTTGCCATATCTCCGGATTTGCCCGGAGATCTCCGGATTTTAAGTCAAAAAATAAGGCTCCGGGGGATTTCAGAAAAAAACATGAAATCTCCTCTTTTTGGAGGTTTTTACTTAATTTTTATAAAAATGTTTTTAGTCACTTTTATAAAAATGTTTTTAATCACTAACAATTTATTGAAAATGCTCACACAGCACGTGTTCTCTTCTCTTGATTACACAATATTGAAAGATGCGCGCGCATCTAAACTTGCGAAAACGAAAGTCGTGACCGATAAATTACGTTAATGTAATAAAGTATTTTGGTTGCTGCTAGACAAGAGATAGTTCCTTTAATTTAAAGTTTTAAAGTAAAAGAATCGCTGCATCCTCAATAACTTTGTCTAATAAAAATGTTTTCTAGTTAAGAAAGAGAGGAATGAGTGTGAAGCCAAATTCAAAATTTGCCCAGCTGGATTATTTATTTATGTTTCTCCAAAAGATAAACCAATTACCTTATGTTAATTTTATTTATCTAATTTTCTATAATCATAATTAAGCCAAAATTGTGTAAGTTAGGTAACCTTTGACCTTTTATTAGTCTCAATAACAAGTGTTAAAAGCTTTAAGTTGGATGAAACTTGACAGTATCCCTATTTGGGATCAAATTAAAGACTTAATTGTAGACAAAAAAGCCCCTTTTTAATGTGAATAAATCATTGAGCCATGACCAATTTTCAAACTTATAAGTTCCATAAGTTTTTGTTATCAAACAAAGACTTATTGAAAAAGATAAGTTCAACAAAAAAGTATAGTTGGTATAACTTATCTTCCCCCCGTCCATAGCTCTTGCTCTGTATCAACAAATGATTGGTCGATAACTGTGAAATTGATAACTGATTCAAGTGATTAGTTAGGTACAAGTGAACAATGGTTACAAGATGACAATAGAGACAAGTTAAATAATGGAGGAATAATAATTGCCTTGCATTTATATAGTATAGTATAATTTAATATAGAATAACTTATAAGACTTAATTCATCAAGAATCAATAATTGTAAAACAGCAATAAAATTGAATGTGAACATTTTACAATTAAAACTAGTTTAATTTTAATTGCAAAACCAGCTATTTGTGTTAAAAAAACAAATGACATTTAAAAAAGGGTTATTACTTATTTAATTCTTATAAAAGGGGTCTACTCTGGTAATGCCTCGCTAAATAATAAGAATTCTCATTCATTTAACACGTATTGTAAAATCAGGGGCGAGTTATGTCACTCGCCAAGATAGGGGCTAAAAAAGTCAACAAAAGTCTGCATATTTTCATTTTTAATTAATTTTTTTTTATTTTTTTGTACTTTAGTGTAATAGTCAAGTTCATATACGTATAATTACGAATAATAGTCAACTTTATTTGTCAGTATAGTAGTCCAATTCTGTATAATAGTCAATTTAAAAAAGAATTTTTTGAAAAAAAGTCCTTAGGGGGGAAGGGGGAAGAGCTACTACCCCATGCCCCCCCTAAAACCCGCCATTGTGTAAAATCTCCTTTTTTACAGTGATTACCATATGGCAACCCTAAAATAAGCGCTACTCGACTTTCTCCCCCCTCCCCCTGTTTTTATGATTGATTTTTATAGAGTACATTATACTGATTCTAAATCATATAAAAACATAGGTCTGAAAACTTGAGGAAAGTACTCTAATTTGATGTTAAAGTATAAAAATTTACATTAAAAACGCTAATATTTCCACCATCTTTTTAACACTGTTTTCAAAATTTAGGTAATTATTTTTTTAACTAACGAACCGGTTTTTACTGCCGTTTTCATTTTTTTAGATGTACATGCATCGACTGACAAATAGGGATTGGCGTATATAAATAAACATATATCTACTGACAAATTGGAATTGACGTAATTAAATGTACATAATTTAAGTTAGGGTTTGGTTGGGGCAGGAAATGAATAAGAAATGCGTTTTAAAATGAAGCGTCGATAGAAACCAGGGTTTTTTAAAGTTGTTGTTGAAAAAGAATCTTATTCTATATATGACAAAGATCTTATTCTTATATGACAAAGATCTTATTCTTATATGACAAAAATCTTATTCTTAAATGACAAAGAATCTTTGTCATATATGACAAAGATTCTTTGTCATACTCGGGTATATACCCGAGTATGACAAAGAATCTTTTTCATACTAAGGTTGTTTAAGGCCAGTCCAAATTTTTAAGGTAGTTCGACTTACCTTCTAGACATTTCTTTTAAATAATTTTTTTTGAAAAGTTGTTGTCTTAACTGAATAATACTTAGCAAAAGTTGTGCAAAGTTAAAAAAAATTTTATTGACGACAATATGGAGGTTGACTTAAATTGTCCTTTAACTAAAAGATAAATATATGATAAAATAAGTAATTAAATTGTTATTAACAACTTTTCTAGTTATATGCGACCTAAACGACATTGATATTGCATTCTACCATTAATCCATAATTTTATCTAGAAGGTCAGGCAGAAAATCTGACGTTTTGTCATTTTTTACAACGAAAAACTATTAAATGTCGAGAATTCGGTAATACTTAACGGTTTGTATTTAATGGTTTTTTGATGGGTCGTAACAACAGAAATAATTTGTCGGGTAGGTTAATAATTCGTAATATTTAAGATTTGAACAATAAATAATATGGTTTGTTATGAATTCATTGTATTATATGATAATTCATAGCATGTTATGAACTCATGATATATATTTGAAAAATTAATAATTGCTGAAAAAACTTTCTTGTCGGGCATTTTAAGTCTAGAAGTCACCGCTATATTGTAAAACAACGTTTTAAAATCATCCTGCGAGAACTGAACGACAAATTATTACGTCACCCGCAGATAATTGAAGTAAATCCGAGACTGGCCTTAAACAACCTGAGTACTGGAGTATGACAAAGAATTTTTGTCATACTCGGTTAGAATAAGATTCTTTTTCAACAACAACTATAAATACTTTGAAGTTGTTACTAAAAATACTTTAAAAAACCCTGGTTTCTATCGACGCTTCAATTTAAAACGCATTTCTTATTGATTTACATTAAAAACACATTAAAAACGCTAATATTAGCCATCTTTGAAAGACGCGGACGCGGGATAAGTGGAATTTCTAATTAGGAGTAGTGCCTAAATACTGTTAATTAATTTAAAAAAATAAAAGTTTGATTATTTCGATAGGTGAAAGCTCTTGAACATTTTTATGTCGATTAGATGATTTTATGTTTTTTCTATTTAATAATTTGTGTTAAAATGTTGTTTTAAATTTATATGTTATACTTCTATTCACACTTGTTCCCCTTTACCCTAGTGGGACGGTTTCTCTAAAAGCAAAAATTTATATACTTACTTATAAATGGCTGGAAACCTAAGGAGATTGAACCGGTCCCTAAAGAGAAGGTTTACTTGTAAAAACTTGTTTAGTTTAGTTTAAACATCAAATAAAAAAGATATTGCAATTACCCTTGAAAAAAAAATTTACGTGTCCCTCTTCTTCACCAATTAAAAGTATTCACTCTGAAGCCTAATTTTTAATAAAACGGTGAAAAATAACACTTTTTTTAATCACTACACCGTTTCAAAAAAGGTGTAAAAATTGAGTAGTTACACTAAAATGGTGTAAATTTACACTTTTTTTTGGTGTTAATATAACCTCAAACACCGTTTGAGGTTATATTAACACCAAAACGGTGTAATTTTATACCTTTTGATTAAGAGTGTGTTATGTTTTTTTCTTTTACACCTTTTAATAAAAACGTTGTAAAACGGTGTAAAACAGCTTAACACCGTTTTTATTAAATGGCGTAAAAAACAACAACAACACAACATTTAAAAAAGGTGTTATTTTACACAGTTTTATCAAAAATTAAACTTTAAGGTGTATAATTACATTAAAACGGTGTAAATTTACACTTTTTGCAAAAAAAAGATTCAAAAAACACCGTTTGAGGTTATATTAACACCAAAACGGTGTAATTTTACACCTTTTAATTAAAAGTGTACTATTGTAACTAATACAATCTCTTATCCGTAAAAATAATATATCTGTATCAGTTTTAAATATTTTAATTCATTTGTATGCAACATAAGAATTAATAAAAAAATGTAAGATAAATGCAAAAGGAAAATTGACGCATAAAGGTTTATTTTACCACAAACTGACGTCAAAGTCCAAAATTATTTTGGCTTAACTTTTAGATAAGCGTTTAATATTATTCTTTTAGTTCTTAATCATAAGAAATAATTTTTTTTTTATGACTTTGGTTTAGAGCTCTTAGATCTTTTTAATTCCATTTGTATAGCGTTACGTACAAATGTATGTAAGTATAAACGTCTTTAGCATATGTTGAGTTTGCAGGCATATTGTGGAATTATCGCGTATATCTATAAAATAATATATCTATAAAATAAGCAAACTTAAAAATTTTATTTTAAATTTTAGAAATCTTTTTTTCTATATCCTTTGTTTTTTTGCTACGAATATCTAAGCGAGATTGAAAAAATTTCAAAACTTATTACGCTAAAAGGAGGTCTTAAACCCTCCAAAACCACACTGATGACTGCCCATTTAACCAATGAAATGCATTTAGCAGAAAAACAAACCTAATTACAAGTTTCTTAAGGCGGATCTCCACTTACAGGAAATTTTCCGTGGAACGGAAAGGAAAATCATCCAATCATGTAACAAAAATTGCTCATCTAAAATTTTTTTGTTACATGATTGGATGATTTTCTTTTTCTTTCCGTTCCGCGGAAAATTTCATGTGAGTGGAAATCCGCCTTTATAAGTTCTACGTTTGCGGAAAAGGTCCGCGTGTTAAGTTTTTTGCCCTTAATTTTTTTTTCAAAATAACTTATTTTACTAAAAATTATTGAAGTAATTAAGAAGAGGTATAGAAATTTCCGGCTAGAAATAGATATGTAAATTAGTAAAGACCAGTATTTTACGGATTCGGAAAGCTAGGATATATAAGGAAAAAGTATAGAAAAGTTCGGTTTGGAATAGATATACAAAGACCCATATTTTTACGAGTCCGATCTCAGCCAATAAGTGTATTATTGGTACAAATATTAACGACAGTATTAGTATAATACTGTTAGTCTTAGTATAATACTACTTTGTATTAGTATTATGCTAATATAAAAACAAGTTGGGTCGTTTCACAGGTATGGGAAAGGTAGATGTTTCATCATACCTGTGAAACGACACACCACATTTTTGTTTTCGGCGATTTGTGCACCTGTATGCACAGCACGAAATAACCATAACTCTACAATATTTCAAAAAGAAGTAGTTGCTCTTAAAAATTTAACAGTTAAAACCTTTTGAAAACTTATATCTAGTTTAAATTAGTCTTATATTCGTACGTAACGCATTCAGAGTTTAAGTTTTTTGCCGTACCGCAAGATGACGGAAGCTGGTTTCACTTTTTAACTCAAGTCACGCATCTAGTTATATTTATACGTCATTGGACTAAACAATTAGATTTGTAATAAAAATTTAAACAAATATTAGGATTTTATGATCAATTAATCATTTTTTATTCGATTCTTTAACAAAATAATAAAAAAAAAAAGTATGAATGGCGATATTGGAAGCATATGAGGCTTATATCGCCATTAGTACGGTTTTAAGAAAAATGGTATTTCCTGAATTTTATTTTATGTGTGAGCAATAAATCTTTGATATTTCTTTAGAACTAAAAATTAAAGCTAAAAAAATCATACTACCTAATCAAAAAAAGATTTTTTCGAAAATGTAGAGTTTACATAATAATAATCAATTAAATATAAAATGGTCGCGTTATTAGACTACTTTACCCTATATATATATATATATATATATATATATATATATATATATATATATATATATATATATATATATATATATATATATATATATATATATATATATATATATATATATATATATATATATATATATATATACACACGCATTTGTAATATATATATATACACACATTTGTAATATATATACATATACACACATTTGTAATATATATATATATATATACACATTTGTAAAATTGAATTAAGTCCATTGGAGAAATAACGCTTTTTCTTCATTGGTATGGAACTTCGGAGAAAAGTTAATTGTGACTATTTCAAATCCTTCTTCTTTAGATGGAGGCTGGAACTTACTCTTAAACGTGTTAAAACCAACATCTGGAACTCGTCTGATAGTTCCGCCTGAAACAATTTGTCTAAACCTGTTTAGGTGATGAGCAAGCTCTAAAGGAGTTTGGAAATTAAAACATCTAACGGAAACATTATACTTTTTTGCTAAATCGATAAACACCTTTCGGGCTTCTTTTGAAGGATTCGTATTGTCGATAACAACACTTTTCTTGTTCTTTAAACTTTTTTCAGCAAGCGAAATACATTTTTCAATAGTTTTCAACGAGTCTCGATTAACAATTACATATAATTTCGGCTCAAGATAATTTTTTGCAAAAAACGATTTGCCAGCTGCTGGAGATCCAACAAAGATAATCATCTCAACATCCTAAACAAGGTAAAAAAAAATTAACAATAAAACAACATTGCAAGGATACATAACAAACAAACAAAAGAACAAGGCTACTTCTACATAACTATAAATCCAAATCGGATTACACATACTTATAACTAGTTTTGTTATCGACTTTGACTAAATCGACTGGTCAAAAATACAACTAGTCGAAAGTTGCAATTAGTCAACTTCGAATAATCGAATATTCAATTTAATCGACTGTGGACATTCTACTAATTGACTAAAAATCATTAGTTTAAAAAAAATTAAAATAATTATTTTAGTTAAAACAAACTTTAGACTTCCCTTTTAACATACACACTGAGTAGAATTTTTATCAAGTTTTATTGTTTAACTATCACCAGGAGGTAAAATTATTTTGTAACAAGTATGTATCAAAATATATTAATCCTCAGTTTTATTACACTAGACTGTGTATCATTTTAATAACTTGCATTTTAAATAATAAATAAGGAGAGAAAAGGTTTTAAATATGGAAAATAAAATTTGGACTTCCCTTCGAACATACACCCTTCTGAATTTGTGTTTTATTATATTTAAAATTTATTATATTAAATTTTTTTTAACATATAATATGGCTGATGATTAGTTTAAAAAGTCGCTTAATGGGGCTTGCAGTGGCTGGTGAACTTTAATTCAGATAAAACTCAATTTTTTTCGGCCAATCGTTATCGCAATAATTTAGACCTATATTTATGAACAGTAATGTACTCGATGAGTCTCCTACCATTCATCTTCTAGGATTAACTCTTCCTATATTTATGAACAGTAATGTACTCGATGAGTCTCCTACCATTCATCTTCTAGGATTAACTCTTACTTCTGATCTTTCTTGGAAACCTTATATCAAATCCGTTGCAAAATTAGCATCTGCTAAAGGTGCTTCTCTTTATCGAGCTCGTCACTTTCTTACTCTGGATTCTACTCTCTATCTCTATAAATCTCAAATCCGGCCTTGTATGGAATACTGTTGCCATATCTGGGGCGGATCTTCTAATGATGCCCTTTCTCTTTTAGACAAGGTGCAAAAACGCATTGTAAACATAGTTGGACCTGCTCTTGCAGCCAACCTTCAACCTTTGTCACATCGTCGTAATGTTGCTTCTCTTTCTCTTTTCTACAAATACTATAATGGGCACTGCTCTAAAGAGCTAGCGTCTCTTGTGCCATCTACTAAAATTCATTCTCGTGTTACTCGTCATTCAATTAAGTCTCATCCTTTTTCTGTTACTGTTCCTAAGTGCTCCAAAAACTCTTATTTGTCTAGTTTTTTTCCTCGAACATCAGTTCTTTGGAATTCGCTTCCTTCATCTTGCTTTCCTGATTCATATAATTTGCAATATTTTAAGTCATCTGCCAATCGTCATCTTGCTCTACAATCTTCATCTTTCTCTTCCAGTAACTTCCAACACTAATTAGTGGTTGCATGCAACCTTGTTTAAAGCGAAAATAATTAAAAAAAAAAAAAAATTCACAAGTTAAAGAAAAAGTTAGTATGTTAAAGAAAAACGACCAAATTTCATATTAATTTCGTAGAATTTTTGATATAACAATAAACTTTGGATACAAGAAAGGAAGACAGAGTTATTACAAGTAGAAGCTGTTTACAATTGCATCGATAAAAACTAGTATTGGTTACTTAGTTTTCTTTGATAATCAAGAATTTGTGGCAAAAAAATTAGAATGTCTATATACAGATTTTTAACTTATTAAGTATAAATTTTATATAGTTATATTGTTTTTTATGAGAATCATGAGAATTATAATAAAAACTATGATGGAGATAACATAAAAGAAAAACTTTATTAATTAGTATTTTAATAAAAGCTCTTACTGATTTTTCTTCGGATGTTATGAAATGTGAAGTTGTGGCATGGGTCTTTACAAAATTTTAAAATACTCCTGTGGTTTGCTGTCTTTAAGAATGTCATTCAATAATGGTTATGGTAATGTTAATGGTGCAACCTCTGCTACTGCTTCTTCTACTAAGTTAATAACAAATTTTGATTAAATTGTTGCACTGTATAACAAGATATGTTTTTAATATAAATTTTTTAATTACACGATTGTGCAAGCAAGTAATAATGATATTTTTTATAGTTTAAATCTTATTCAAGCATTAAATGACTTTATTTCTATACTTAGAAATATTATTAATCAACACCTCCAAATATGCTTTGAACAAGCCTAAAAATTGCATTTCAATTTATTTTAAATTGTTATCACTGTTTCTTTGCTAGACTTATTACTGAGTTTTAAAACACAATGTTTGATTGATACAATTTTAAAATGTTATAAAGCACCTGTGTTTTAATTTCTTCTTTCTAATCTTCTGTTTCAGTATTTTGTTATACTAGTTGGAAAGACTAAATCATATGTTTTAGTAAATCATATATTATTCCCATTTTTTGACTAAAACGACTTGGTAAATTTTTAAAATGTATTAGTCGACAATCAAAATATTATTTAAAAACCAGTACTTGCCATGCGCTTAGGCATGATAAGAGTGTGTGGAAAGCATCTGGTGTTTTACCCTAATTCTAATTACAAGTTGAAAATTTTGAACAAAAATATATACAAAAAACACATTATCCAGCTGTTCAATAAGTAAAAAAATAAATCCATGGAATCAGATTCTTCTGGGTGAATGCTAAAACTTTCAATTTTTTCATTTAGAGTAACAATACATGAATGAATATATTTCTTTTAGTGATAACCTTTCCTTTTTCTACTTTCTTAGTAAAAACACTTTCCTCTAAATATTGCACATATTGAGGATGAGCTAATATTGAGGTTGAGTTGAGAGATATGAACTTCAAACGAGCAACATAGAGTGTTTTACGATGAGTTGTTATCCTAAAGCTTTAATGGAAAACTAAAAAAAAAGTTTAATTCAAAATACTGCTGAAAAATTTTATGCTTTCAGCATAAAATTTTTCAGCAGTATTCAAAATACTGCTGAAAAATGTTATGCTTTCAGCAGTATTTTGAATTAATTTTTTTTTTAGTTTTTCATTAAAGTTTTCCGTTTTCTTTTTGGATCACATGTTTAATGGCATACTTTTATTACAAGAAAGTATGCCATTAAACATGTGATCCAAAAAGAAGAGAAGATGTAGATGAAAAAAGAAAAGTCATCAACTGAAAAGAAGAAAATCTCTTTAAACAAGTGTAAAACATAAAGCATTAAGATCATTAGCAGGATCTTTAAATATTCCAACAATAACAACCCTTTATTGTCAACTTAAGACTGGTGATCTAAGAGTAAGCACATAAACTGTGAAACCTTTTAACAGATCAAAACAGGAAGCATCATGTTGAATTTATTATTCTCAATTTTTTGCAATATAGTACAACTTAGTTTGTAAATATGTTCATGTAGATAGGATTTTACTACTTGGGGATTGATGAACCTGAACTCCATCGACATGTAAAATCAAAGAATTTCATCATAAAAATTATGTTCCTAGTTGCAGTTACAAAACCAGGGTTTGACCAAACACAAACGAATGGTTTGATGGAGAGATCGGTATTTGCCCATTTGTAAAGGAAGAGCCTGCAAAGAGAAACATGGAACACTAGCTACAACTCCAATTGTTGTAGATAAATTTGAGTATCGCAACATGCATTTAAATAATCTTTTACCAGCCATTTAAAATGGCCAGGAAATCACTTTGAAAGGAGTCAAACTATTTTTATATATAACGGGACAATGCAAAATGGTAGGGATTGCATTTCGAAATTCAAAATTCGAGAATTCCTGAATTCGTTTTCATAATATAGTTTTGAATTCCAAAATTAAAATTTATTTTTTCGTACTCTCTCCAACTTTTAAATAGTGTTTTTTTTCTGTAGATATAAATATCCTACATCCTAATTCTATAAGAAGAAATAAAGAAAACAATTGTAAATTACAGATATCCTGCATAATACAAGTAGACATAGAGAAAACATTACTAAATTGCAGTTAACGTTTTCATTTCTTCATTTCACACCCACATGTAATAATTTGTTTAGATTTGCTTATTGCATTGTTACATTATTGCCATTAACGGTTTTGCGTCTTCATTTCATACCAATATGTAATAATGTTTATATTTGGTATAACATCGTGTTCTTGTCTTATAGTTTACAATTTTCAACAGTGTTGAGATTTAGTTATTGTAGTGCAGTGTGTATTGAATTATTTAAATCAATATTTTTTAAATAGGTAAGCAAATAATAGTAGGAAAAATAGCAGTTTAAATTTAACAACATTATTTGATAACTATTTAAATTTATTTTTGTTTTTTTTTTAACAAGTTAAAATGCTATCAACAGTACATCCTAAAATGTCTTGAAAGGAAAGTTATTCAGAATACACAAAGCAATGTAAAAACCAAAATTCTGTTTGGATTCATTTATTAAGAGTATCAAAAAAACTAACAGCAAAAGTAAAATATGTTTTGAAATAGTAAAAACCACTGGTTCAACGACAACACCACAGCACATGCATTTAAGAACAATACACAAAATGTATTAAAACGGGATGTTGTGCAAGATGAAAGTCCAGAAAGCAGCACATCAAAAATGATGATTACAAACTATTTATTCAACAAAAAAGATGAATCACTTTCTGCAATCCTATCACAAATGTGTGCCTTAGATAATATGACATTCAAAGTTTTCTGTACGTCTATCGATTTGATAAGTTTGTTTTTGGCTAAAGGCGCTCGAGATTATGTATTATTAAAATCATCTAACTCGATTCGCAAAATGGTTTTAGAATATCCACAAAAAATGCAGACTAAAATGATGCAAGATTTTATAAACTTAAAAGAAGATGGAGCAAGATTTTACTTAACTCTAGATGAATGGGCATCTTCAAGAAACCGATGTTATTTAAATGTGAATGTCCATGGCAAGAAACAGTTTTAAAATTTAGGTTTAGTACCTGCTGAAGGACGTTTCCCTGCAGAGAAATGCATTACGGCTCTGAAAACCACATTGCAAGAAAACAATCTAAATATCGATAAAGAATAAAACAAGAATTTGGAAAACAATTGAAACTTTTTATGGACACTAGAACTAAATGGAACTAAAACAAAATGCTTGAAAGGTTTAACAAGCTAAAAAGCTGTATTAGAAAAGCATTGATTGACATTACATCTGATATCATTATTCTAGATGCTGAAATTTTGTTAAAAACATTATCTCTGCGCTTCTCCCAATGAAGCTTACTGCTGAGAGAAGCTTACTGTTGAGAGAAGCTTACTGCTGAGAAGCTTACTGTTAAAGCTTACTGTTGCCCTTTGTTGAGAAGATGCAAATCTGCTTTCTGCTGATGCTGCATTTTCTTTTATGTTTGAGAATTTCGAATCTGATGAATTTTTATTGAAATTAAAGAAGAAATTAGTAGACCGAATAAGCCAAAGACGAACTAATGTGTCTGGAACTCTTCAGTATTTACATAATGACAAAAAAAGTGAGATTCACACATCTTACGCTAGACCTTTGAAAAAAAGAATAGCCAAAGTTATTGAAAACTTTGCACAAAGATTGATACTTAACACTAACATGGAAATTCCTTAGGCGAGCAGTCAGAAGCTGACGATGTAATAGAAGTGATGATGGAAGAACAAACTAAGCCCTTAACATTAATGCAAAAATTGGAGAACAAAACTCAATTTATTGACCAACATAACGTCCAACTTAACTCAACAAATAATAGGAACTTAATTTCAAAAAATAAATCTAAAATAAAATTCTTTAAAGAAAACGGCGTTTATGGCAAAATATTAGAGTCCGTCTACTCATATTTGATTTTGATTCCGCTATTGAGCGTGTAGTCTGAGCGAGCCTTCTCAATTGCTGGTAACTTTTGTACAAAAGTTGGAACAAGACTCGTAGACGCAGCTTTAAGTAATCTCTGCTTCCTAAAGGCATATTTTAAGCAAATAAAACAATTTCATTTAAAAAAATTATAAAAATATTAATAAAACAATATTATTTTTTATTATAAAATGATATACCATACTAGAATGTTTCTGTACTAATTGAATTTGGTATAAAGTTAGGAAGTTACTGAAAGAGTAACTTCCAAACTCAACATCACGACGATGTGATTGGAGATTGGCTACAAGAGCAGGTCTAACTATGTTTATAATGCATTTTTGCATCTAGCCTAAAAGAGAAAGGGCATCATTAGAAGATCCAGCCCAGATATAGCAACAGTATTCCATACAGGGACGGATTGGAGATTTATAGAGATAGAGAATAGAATCTGGAGTAAGAAAGTGTTGAGCTCAATAAAGTGATGCAACCTTAGCAGATGCTAATTTTGCAATGGATTTTATATACGGTTTCCAAGAAAGATCAGAAGTAAGAGTTAATCCTAGAAGATGAAGGGTAGATTACTCATCTAGTACATTACCGTTCATAAATATAGGAAGATCTAAATTATTGCAATAACGATTGGCCAAAAAAAAATTGAGTTTTATTTGAATTAAAGTTCACCAGCCACTGCAAGCTCCACGCTGTATCAGAAGTAAGATCCTTTTCAAGCTCAAATGTCCCTCCCAGCAATCAGAGAGTGTTGGCTTCTTATCATAACAAGAATAACATCCTAACATGACATGTCGTCAGCGAATAATACCACCTTAGATGTGAGAATATCTGTAGATTGTTAATGTTAATTGAAAAGAGTATAGGGACAAGGATTTAACCTTGAGGAACCCCTGAAGTTACAGGATACGAAGAAGAGTGTTGTCCATCCAGGACAACATTTATACTACAATTGGAAAGGAAGGACTCAATAATCTTAAAGATGTTACCAGATACACCGTAAGAAGAAAGCTTTAGGAGAAGGCCAGCATGCCAAACTTTATCAATACTGTTAGAGATTCTCCAGAAGTCACGAGTCTAATTTTTGTGATAAAATACAAGATTTTATAACCTAAAAATAGTGAACTTTAGTGTCTGACAAAACCTTTTTACAATGGTTTCTTGAAATAGTAAACAGAAGTCTGTTTTCAGGAGAATTGTTTTGCTGTTAGATATGGAAGTAACGGTTTCCATTAGTAATTGCCGCAGCACAATGCAAGGAAAACCATGGAGAAAAGTGAGCGTTGACCTGGAATCATGAAAAGAGAATAAAAGATTCCATGCCAGCCTGAATCCATATGTAAGAAGCACATTATTTAGCAGGAAGACAAAAGATTTTTACCTAAGAGCCATTACGAAGAAAATCAGGGAAAGAGTCCCATTCAGTTTTAAGATAGTTGTATGTAGTACGATGATAGGGGGATTCTGATTAAGAAAAAGAATATGATTAGTTTTAAAGAGATCTAACCATAATCAGAAGCACCATAATCAGAAGGTTAATGTGGAGAAACTGAGCACAGAATAGGATCAGAAAAAAGACATAGGTCAAATAGGGAAGGTAAATGATGTTGTTTGTTGTCGGGTTGTCTGGAAAGCGATTTGGAAAGTTGACTATTTAAGTAAGAGATTGAGAAAGGCAAAAGTTAAGGGCCTCAACGCCAGTAGAGTCACTGACACTAGAGCCAAGCCTTTGAACTTTGCAAGAGATAAGAATCAACAGAAGAAAAGTTACTTCGAAAAGCACGAATATTAGTAAATGATAGGTTAAGAGAACTTGGTGATGCAAGGGTTTTTTGTTATTTATAGTTATTGGTACTTTTTTATAGTTATTTTAAAGTTTTTAAAGAACTTGAATCAAGCATAGATTGTACTCAGTACGTTATTTAATGATCCAAGCAAGTGATATTAGTCCCTTTACAGATAAAAAAAGTGGACTGTAATAACCAGTTGGATGATGTAATAGCAATAAGTTTTGATTTAGAAAATATTGCTCAGCCTGTTTTGTTCCAATAGTTGAAAGAAGTAGCATTTTTAGAAAAGAATCTAAATGTTTTCAATCCGTCAGCACACCCTCAATTTAGTAATACAAGGACAAATTTCAGAATGTTGATAATATGCATAATAGTCAAATTGAAAAAATAATGCTTCTGAATTTTACTTATTAAGAAACACTAATAATAGTAATAAACCAACCTAACCAATAGAAGTAAACTAACCTGATTAATAAATGCTTTCAAGCACTCAAAAATACAAGTTGCTGTATCAACTTAAAAAACTAATTAAAAAAGAAAATTTTAATCTATCAACTAAAAAAAATCACAATTACTTTGTCTGATTTGCATACTCATTTGCATTTGCATACTTGATGCTCTTTTTTGTAAACTTTTTTTTTGGAACTTTTAAAGTGAACATTTTATTATTTAATAATATTATTAAAATTTTGTTAATAATAAATTCAATAACCTGCATTACTATGTTATATATATATAGCTGTAACAAACATTGAAAGTTTATATATAATAGTATTGACTTTTTATACAGTAAATAAACTTAGAATAAGTAACAATAATAATAATTATAACAACAATAATAAGAATATCAATGAAAATATAAATAATAAAAATATGTTATATAAAAATTATATAGAGAATAAAAGATTTTTTAAAAGTCTTACATTTGAACAAATATTTTCAAAAGAATGTTCAGAATAATCACTTAAGGCTTTAACTGGATCGATTGATCCCCAATCAAATTCTAGGTAAGGTACTGCTCCATCAAAGAACTCTTCAGGAGTATAAAACTGAATGCCAATATTTTTAGCAAATTTTCGATCACTACACGAAAAATCTTTTTTTCGTCCTAAATATTAACCACAGCTTTAAAAAAACAATTATCAATACACTAAATCTATAATGCAATATACATCGATTATCATCACTGATGATAATATAATAAATAATATAAATAATATATTAGTATATATAATATATAAATATAATTCAATTAAAAATAATATCAAAATATATAAGAATTTAATAATATATAAATATAACATTTCACAAGCTTTTACTTAGTGAAATGTTTGAAATTAATATTTTTTGTATTATTTATATGTATTGTTTTTTTTTTAAAGAAGTTTGATGACATAAAAAAAAACACAATAAGGTAAATTACATTAGACAAAAATCCCATAAGCAATACGCAATAATGATGCTTAAAGCATCACGCATATAGATAAGAAAAGATACAAATACTAGAAATAAAAAAAGTAATAAACCAAAAAAATATAATCGTAAATACATTAAACTAAAATTACCCACTGCCCAGTCTTTTGGTCTTCCAGCAGCATCACCAACATAAAAACTTTCACTAAGATTAGCAACAGAGGTACCGTTGCACTGAAGAACACAAAAATTCCATGCATTTATATACGGTTTTCGATAAATATTTTCACCAGTTGAGATAAAAACTTGCATTGGTATTCCTAGTTCATCAATGATGTCCATAATCTTTGTCTGAATAACTTGTGGTTTTAACTTTTTTTTCTCAATGCCAGCTTGATTTGTAAAAATAACTAACTTATAGCCTTCATTATAAAGTGATTTCAGTTTTGCAACAACTTTAGAACTAAGAAACTTCCAATCTGACTCTGAAATAGGAAATTTTTTTCTACTTTTGGTAGTAATTAATGCGTCATCTAGATCAAAAGAAGCTATTTTTGTAGAAGAACTTACACTCGGACCATCTAAATATATTAAAGGATACAAATCTTTAATTGGATCACCATGGTTTTTCCATATCAAATCAAACTTGGAAGAAAATAATTTTTGTTGCTTTGTTTTACTTTCAGGATTAGACGAACTATTTAAAGACCGCTTCATAATCAAAAAATAATGGAAAGTTTTGTAATAATGTCTTACACAACTTTTAAGCAAAATGTTTTCTTTAATTTATATATCTAAAGAATACCATTAATTATGATTATTATCATCATCATCATCATCATCATCATCATCATCATCATCATCATCATCATCATCATTATCATTATCATCATCATCATCATCATCATCATCATCATCATCATAATCATCATCATCAAAATCATCATTGTCATCAACAACATCATTACCATAATTATCATCATGTTAATGCTAACTTTCTGAAATTAACGAAAATTGTGGGAGGGGAGGAGAGGAAGCATTTCAATATATACATCAAATAATTGTTTAGGGAAACAGTATGCACTTTATAAAGATACATATATTTTGTATTTGCTTTGTTCAGTATTTTTCTTAATACTCAGGTTCAAAAAAAGCAGCCATGACACATTGCTTAGAATTCTGCCTCAGAACCAAGAGGTTCAATATAAAAAACTATATGGATTTAAGTCAAAAAATAATTTGACAAATGTATATCTATATACACTATAGTAGATACACACATAAAAATGGATGTATATGTATTATATGAGTATTTGCAAATGTGTGTGTGTGTGTGTAAATATATATATATATATATATATATATATATATATATATATATATATATATATATATATATATATATATATATATATATATATATATGCAGGGCCTGTTATAAAAAAAAAGGTCACAGACAAGGCTGTCTAAAACGGTCTAGAACAGCCTCTGATTTATATATATATATATATATATATATATATATATATATATATATATATATATATATATATATATATATATATATATATATATATATATATATATATATATATATATATATATATATATATATATATATATATGTTTCAGCTGATAAGTATACCTTGATGCGTATAAAAAATAAAAAAAATATAAGAAAGTAAAACTACAACAGTAATAATAAAAAAACTTTTTGTTATTTAACTATAATAAACAATTTATAAAAATTTTATTTTATGATGTTCATAACATAAAGTTATTAATTAATGATGTAAGTAAATTGTTTGTTTGAGAACATAAGAAAATTGTTTGTTTGAGAACATCCAATATCTTGTCAGAAAAAGATCCAGAAAATAATCTTGATATGAAATTTTGATCATTAGTCTATTTTTTGCGCTTTTTCTTTTCCACTGAAATCATTAATTCTAAAATACATTAAAAAAAAAAAAATCAATAAATATAAATCAGGGATGCGGAATCCCAAAAAAGACTCTCAAAATGCTAGAGGTTGGCATCAGGGTGGCAAATAAAAATGACACAAAGAAGTTACCATAAAACATAGAAACGAGGTCAGCAATTTTTTGTGGACCTCAAACACTTTCAGGTCGGCAATTAGGTCAGCCTAATGTTGACCCTAATTCCGAAGGCTGTATATATATATATATATATATATATATATATATATATATATATATATATATATATATATATATATATATATATATATATATATATATATATATATATATATATATTGACAATTCGTAAGAGGAAAATGTCTTACTTGAAATTTTGAACAGCTTTAGTTTTTAAAAACTTTGATATAAAAAATTATAACATCGTTTATTAAGTATACCAAATATACCTTCTTTGTTTAAATTATCTCCTTTCGGAATACTAATAACATGATTAGTCCAACATACTTTACAAGATGGGCAGTTTCGGTCAGATACATCACTATCATAAAAAAATAAACTATAATATTTAATATAAGTGGTTCACATATAATATTTTTTATTATATTTGTAAAAATGAAAACTTTAAAAACTGAATTTTAGGTTTTATGGCAATTATCAATTAAAAAATTAAATGTTACAACTATTCTCATGATTTAAATATAAAATAATTTTTGATTCGGTAATATTACTTAATATTATGGAAAAAAAAAAATAAAACAACAACTTGATAATAGTGTAATCAATTTTAGCGTTGTACCAAAAGAGTCATTACTGGATTTTGTCTTAACGAGGGAATAAAACTGGGCAACATTGGCTTTATAAATTAAATCTTTTTTTCAGAGAATACAATATTTATTTATTTTTGCATTGTATAAACAAGAACTACCTTTTTATTTGACATGAATATATGCATTACTGGTTCTTTTATATTATCTATAGAAAGTATGTTTATAGGAGGCTAATTTCCAAATGGCTAGGGATGGATTTGCTTCAATTGCAAAGTACTGGAGCATGTTATAATATAGATGAGTTCAAATAATTACAAATAATTTGTCAGAATGATTCAACACATTGATTCTGTTTTGATAGCATATACCAAATTACATTAAAAAGGTGTGTATTGGGCTGTAATCAACTTTGTAAAAATTATATTTGGTTGGGTTCTTATCGATTTTATAATTTTTTTACTAAATGGGATTAACCTAGATCTAGATTGGGATTTTACTAAATGAGATTGACCTAGATCTAAAAGGTTGTTATATTGTGTGTTATCAGATACAAGCAAGTTAGGAAAGGGCACATTTCAGGAAGAGCACATTTCCAAAAATAGATTAGAGATTAACAATAGAATTTATGAGTGGCAGAATAATATTGCCTGCTATGACACACATAGAATCATATGTTGATGTAATTCTATTAATTACCTTACATAAGGCTTTGGTTTTTGAAATACAGGTGGCTGCACATGCTGGGTTTGTAATGCATGCAATTAAAATCTTTTGGAGAAAACAAAACAGGTTGATACATGTAATTTCTGTATTTTTTAGTTCCTTTTGAATTTCAAGAAGATTTTGCTCTTAGTGGATATAAATGCGCACAGTACGAATGCGCCACCACTCTGCTGTTATGGTCATGTTAAAATACTTTAAAATTATTTTCTTTTAACAATTCTGGAGAGCCCGGTAATTTTTTTATTTAACTAAGTTTCTGTTATGAGAACAATGTTAAAATTTTTATTTTAATAAAAATTTTATTATTTAATTATCATTGTAATTTCTTATTCATTGATCTAGTGTTTAAGTATGCACAGTTTATTTTTGAAGGGATATTGATTTGAGTCAATTTTATTAGTTTTATTTAAGTTATTCATATTAATTGCAGAAGTAACATTATTAGGCTTAATGGTATTGTTTAATGTATTAAGTCTATTTGGTAAATTTGGAGATGCTTATTTTAACAATGACGTTGCTTCTGATGCAGTGATGAAAGAGCAAATTATCTTTCAACAAACAGCTATTTAGTCATAAGGCTAAATTTTTTTAAATGAAATTTTTTATCAAATTTTTCTACAAAGAATTTTAAAGTCAAATTATACTACAACAATAAAAAATAAAAAAATTTAAGTTTGGGAGTAACTAATTAAAATTTTATTTAAAGCTGGGCAAAAGTTGTAGGAATAACTAAATTCCAACAATTTTAAAATTGTTTATTAACTACTTTTTCTGAACACACATTTTGTAAAATTATTTATTAATCAATAATTTATTGTGCCACAAATTTCAACTGAAATGAATATTCCACAATCAACAATTGGCTTTACCTTGAAAGTTTTTTGACAATGGAATCATTGCCAAGCATTGACAAATTCAGGAGAGCTGAATTTAAGAATTTCTGGCCAATATAATGTGGTAGTAAGATTGTCATTACAGATCAAGAGTGCTAAAGAACTTTATAGAAATTTCAGTGGCCTCAAATTTCCTGCATTTATGCAAAGATAAGGTTGCTTTTCTGTTGCGTATAAAAAAAAATATAACCATTTTGGTCACCATCCAATTTAAAAATCTTTTTTTACAGGAAAAACTTTTAAAGATCGTTTTTAAAAGCATAATAATTCTCTTTTTGATATCAAAAAATAGTATTTACAAATGCATTGTTTCGTCACAAAATAACCCTGATAAACAATATAATGGCTTAAGAATTTTTTTCATAACTAACTATTTAATTTTAATGTTAATGCTCCTGTAGTTATTATGTATTAATTATTATAATAGTTGTAGTTATTTTTCAACCATCCTGGTTGAAAAATAACTACAGCTAATATAATTTTGTTATAATTATTTGTTATAATTAATTATATCCATTCCCAACTTGCTGTGAAATATTTTTTCTATAATAAATTCTTTAATAAGCTAATCAAAATACTAAATAATATGTAAATATTAGATGAAAATAAACATACACGTTTTGAAAAACTGTAGCAATACAATACTTATGATATCGTTTCTCACAGCTTTCACATTTGTCACCCTGAAAATATACAATCGATAAGTGCAGTATTTTTAAAGTAAGTACAAGTAATACAAGTCTATTACTTGAGAAAACAGACTAAAATACTAGATTAAAATTAACAAATAATAATAATATTTATAATAAAATTAACAAATAATGTTATTAATACAAAAACGACAATTAGTGTTTGTAAAACAAACACTATTTGTATAAAATTGATAAATATTTAGCAGATAAACTTATTTTTAAAGAAAAAGAGCATTTTAAAAGCCAAAAACCTTCATTTTGATTTTTGTTTGTTTGTTTGTTTATTTAAGATTGCAGTTAATATTACACATTTCAGATTTAGTTAAAAATTGTTTTGTTCTGTTTTATTTTTGCTAGCAGCTGAACAAAGTAAATTTAAAACAAAATCTGAGAATTAATCTCAGGAATTATCTATAAATTAATCTCAGGAATTATTATTAGAATTTTTGTCTTCATTTTACAATCAAAATGTCAAATTAAAATGTAAATGTATGAAAAATGTAAATAATGTATATAATGGTATTTATAAACTTTTTCTTATAATTATAAAAGATTTCTTAGCAGTTTGATTATTATGGCCCAAATTATACTTTTTTTACCTTTAAAACTTAACAATTTTTTTAAATTATTACAAAAAGGATTTTAATGCTATTGTATTAAGTTACTTTTATTTTTATTTTCAAATTTTTATATATAGTATAACACACACCCATCTCAACACCAGTGTATGACAGTTTAAATGTCGACAAAAGCCTTGGCAAATTATAAACTTTATTTTAAAAAATATTTAAATGTTTATTTAGTTTGGTATCATATAAAGTATGTAAACAAAAAAAGTAAAAATAAGTTAGAGTATATAAAATAAAAATGCACAATCAATATGTTTGTGTAAGTGATCAAGCGTTCAAAAAAATTGTTATAGAATATTTTGTTGTTTTTTTTATTTATATTCATTATTTTTTAATTAACTCCAGAAAATCAAATGATATGTGTAAGACATTTATTAATAAAGAATTTGTTTGCAACCAAATTTCTGAAAACAAAAATGTAAAAAAATATATAATAACAGGCCTTGGCATGAATAAAATTGTTCAGCGTAAAGTTTCGCGCCTGCAAAACTTAAATATTTTTTTAGCGAGCGCGATTATGCGCGCTTGTCATTAAGTTATCGGGAGCGATCTTTTATTTTTGGATATGTGTGCTCCACACAATTTTATTAATTTTTAAATTATTATACAGCATTCTTAAGACAATAAATATTTTGAAATTATTATTTAGCAGCGCACTGCCAGACAAAACGTTTAAAATTCTATCGACTTCCTAAATACTTATTATTTGATTGCATCTGATTTTTTTTTTCCCGCCTAGTTCTTAACGATCTTGTTTTTTGAATAAATTTATCTTTTATGTATTTTCTTTGTTATTGTCTTCATCTTTAACTTAATACTAAAGTCAATTTTTTTTTTATTATTACATCAAATTTATTTGAAAGAAGTTCATAAGCTTTCATTTTTTTCATTGTTTCATTTGTTTAATTAAAATATAAATTCATAACAATTTTGCATCATTCAAACAATAAAACAATGAAATAACAATTTCTTTTTGTTAAAACTTAATTAATTAAAACATCTGTTATAGTGTGTAAACTTATTTTTATATAATTCTTTATAATAAAATACAATATTTCTAGAGGTTATATATACCCTCATTATTTAAGTAATATATAGATATGGGTGCTCCACACAATTTTATAAATTTTTAATTTGTTATACAGCGTTCTTAAAACGATAAATATTTTAATATTATTATTTAGCAGCGCACCACCTGACACAACGTTTAAAATTCTTTCGACTTTGAGCCATGTATAACCTCTAGAAATATTGTATTTTATAATAAAGAATTATATAAGGATAATACGGTTAGCACGGATCCTTATAATGCCTGACCCAAACTGTCCCAAGAATACCACTTATATGGAAAGTTAGCGTACACATCAAGGTACCCTGTGATGCAAATTTGAAATCATTTAATTTTGTCTGCCGAAAATAATTTAATTTAAATGTTCAAATTAAGTCAAATTTAGACTTCATAGTGCGCCAATAAAAACACTTGTAGAATTTGAACCACTCAATATAATTTGATAAAAATTGGTGCAAATGTAGCCAATAGTCACACTAAACTCTGGACAAAATTTCAGCCTGATTGGATAACTGGTGTAGAATTTATTGCAGTTTTAGTTTAAGTTTTGTAAATTTTTTGCTACTTATACCTCAAAGCATAACCGATTACTTTGAAATTCAATCACTACTTTTAAAATATCAATTACATGAGTGTTCTATTATGTAATACCAACAATTTTTGTTATAATTATTTTATCGGTACATGTAAAGTTTTCATTTTATAGACCAAAATAGTGATTTTCTACTTAAAGCGTGATTTAAATAGTCTTATGCTAATAGTTTCGACACGGCCCTCAAAGTGGAGAGGTTCAACCCCTCAATTTCTAAAATAAAATCAGTTAGTAAAACAAAACAAAAAAGTAGATCTCCTAAAATATTTTGTATTAACCTCCTTAAATAAATTTACTTTTAAATTGAAGTGAAAACTATTTAAACCCTATTTTTTACATTGTATTACCATCAAATATCTAATTATATTTTAAGAAATGTTTTTTTGATTTTCTCCACCAAAAGATTATTAATAAATAGCTCAATGTACTCTTTTAATACAAATACTCTATAATACTACTTTTAAAGATGATAAAAATATTCATTATATGCCATAAAATAAGAATTTCAGCAGCCTAATTTCTAATAACTCAAATGATGTTCTTTAAATATGCTTACTGTTTAGATCAATTATGCAGCCCAACAATCTTTCTTTGTACTCTGGATGATTATTATATCGCTTATACCTCGACCAACGTTGATAAAAATCTTGATGAGAAGTTTCAACAGTTTGTTCACTATAGGGCCCCAAGGGGGATCCTTTTTGACTGATGAATTCCTTGATGTGGTAGAAGACGACATGACTTTTCGGTGTTATGCTTGCACCAGTTATCATTAGGTAATACTTTTTGAAATTTTCAATTTTTTAGCAAAATCTGGCTGAAGGATGTATCCAAAGCAAGCCTTGACAACTAAATTGAAGCTTTTGAATGCTTCAATTATGCACACAATAATGGGAACCATGTTTGTCTCAGTAAGTTGCTGCAGCATATCCACATTTTTAAGAAGCTTCCTGCATTCATTCAACTGGCCCCCGTGATACGGACACAGTTGATTGTGGAGGGCGGCTGGACACGTAACAGCTTCTATCCGAGCAGTTTTAAGGATCTTGAAAAGATGGTTGACAACTCCTAAAAGGAGATGCAATTCCATCGGTGGAATGATTTCCAAAATCAGAACATTGACAGGCCCGCAGATGATTGGCTTTTGAATGACATTGCCAAACAGCATTGCAGTAGTAACAACCCAGCCAGATTGCTAAAAAGACTCAAAGCTTGAATTAATTGAGCCCAGTGTTCGCAAGTTTTTAGCAAGACAATTGAATTTGACATCACACCAGGTGCAAGGGTGAGTACTTAAATGAGTTTGAAGACCACAAATTATATTTGAATTTTTCATATCACAAGCCAAAATTAGTTTAACTCCATTTGCATTAATCAGTTACCAGATTTGTTCAATATTGGAGTGTGTTTCTGGCAAATCTTCTGAAACCCTAACAATTTGTCTCTTGACTCCAGTGTCTTTACCAGTCCTTTGAGTGAGAGGTTATTGTTGGTGCGATGAGCTGGTTTCATCCCTAAATGCAGTATCAACTATGTTTAGGCAAAACTTGAGAAAACCTTTGCCACCATCAATTCCGAGCTTAACAAAATAGCCACCAGAAATATTGAGGAACTGAATAACATGACTCACAAGACTTGATAAATCATTGCAGTGAGCAACAACATGAACTGTACAAGAATCTGTTTTTTCGTCTGTGATTTTTAAGTCGCTGCAGGTAAAGAAATTGCTTAATTGTTGACCTAGTCTTAGAAAACTCATGTAGAAATTTTGCTCTACTATCTTGCTGCTTGATGTTTTGTTTATAGTTCTAACAAGTTTCTTTAATCAGTTGTTTGACAGGCCCGTATTTAATTGCACATTTACAAGGGCTACAGTGGTCAATTTTGGGGCACTTGATGGTGTCTGCGCACTACTTTGACCTAAAATCAAAACATACATATTTTATTGTTACAACTAACTTTGTTTAGTAAGTTTGTGTAAAACTTTCAAACTATTGGTTTTTAAAGAAATTAGAAACTTTAAAAAATATACTTCTTGAAATCTATCTAGTTTTATTTCTTAATAGTCAAGACTTTATTTCAATATATATGTTAAAATTATTTAAGTATAAATATTTACCAGGGGTAACTGTTAATGGAGGCCCGCCGAATGCTTTAGTCAGTAAAATAGTTCCTTCCGGAGATAATTCTTTATTGGAAATAACTTGAGATGCGATTTGTTCGGATGATTTGGCATCTTTTGCTGGTAAAGATTGAATATTTTCTCTTAATATTATTTGAGAGCAATCATCGGGCAAACCGTTTCCTAAAGGGCTGAGGCATTTGCTGCAACGCACCTTTGGTTTCTCTCAATAGTGGTTTGCTGTATAAGAGGATGTTTTTCTTGAAGCTTTGAACAACCGATTCGGCATATTAGGCAACAACACATCATGTCTCTTGTTTTAGGTCTCACTTGTATTGACTTAAAATCAAACAAAGGAGGGAGTGCAACTTTTTTCCATTCTTGTTTCCTGCGCAAAGTAATTCTACACAATTCACAGAATCCTTTTGGTACCCGAGTATCACTGATATTGATCTTGGTCTTGTACAGTTGGAATATTGGATCTGCTTGAAAATATTGGATCAGATTGGAATATTCGATCTGCTTGAAAAGTAGAAAGCTGTCAAAAACATTTTTTCAGACAGAGCAAGCACACAAACT